TGATGATGATGCTGATGATGATGATGATGGTGGTGGTGGTGGTGATGATGATGTCGGCGATGACGACGCCGATGACGATACTGCTGCTGCTGCTGATGCTGCTGCTTATGATGATGGTGGTGGTGATGCTGATGATGCTGATGCTGCTGCTGATGATGCTGATGACGATGATGAGGGTGATGATGATGCTGATTATGACGATGATGATGATTATGATGGTGGTGGTGGTGATGATGCTGATGATGAAGATGATGATGAGGATGAAGATGAGGATGAGGATGAGGATGAGGAGGAGGATGCTGCTGCTGATGATGCTGGTGGTGATGATGCTGATGATGCTGATGATGCTAATGCTGCTGCTGCTGCTGCTGATGATGATGATGATGATGATGATGATGATGATGATGATGTTGATGATGATGATGATGATGATGATGATGATGATGATGATGATGATGATGATGATGATGATGATGATGATGATAATGATGTTGATAATGACGAGGCGGAGGAGGACGAGGAGGAGGAGGACGAGGAGGAGGAGGCGGAGGAGGAGGAGGAGGAGGAGGAGGAGCCCGCGTACGCGCCGTGGCGCGGCCTCGCTGACGGAGCAGTGGCGCTGTGGCGTCGCGGCGCTCGGACCAGAAGTGAGGGGCGCGTGAGCAGTGCAGCGCGGGCCCGACACAAGGTACGGGGAAGGTCGGATATGCGCGAGCGTGATGCGTGAGGAAGCGAGCAGCGGGAGGACGGAGCGGAAGAGGAACGATGATGTCGCAACACTCGCTCGCAGCAGTGATTTGTCGTTGTGCAGTTCGGGCAGCACTCTGGGTCACGCTGCTCTGTGCCCTTGTTCCCTTAGCGGGTTTGAGCCTCACGCCGACGGATGACCGCATATGTTCATCAGGCTCTGGTGCCGAGACGGACACAGCAGGCACAACCTGCACGGTAGTGCGAGCAGCGAGAGGACGGAGCGGCAGAGGAGGGGAGCTCGCAGGACGGAGGCTGCGGCAACTTCTCCGACGCGCCGCACTCCGCCCCCCCCGTCTGCGTGGTGCGTGTCACTCAGGAGGGGTCAAAAACAAATTTATCGTCGATGGGAAGGGGGGGGGGTAAGGCGAAAACCCAGAAGATATGGGAACATAGGGGGAATCCTGGCATTTGTGCGTATACTTATTTGTGTGTTCTTGGGCCCCTTTGATTACGCGTGGCCCGCCAAGGTACCTTCTCCGCGGCGCCCAACCCCCACACGTCTGGCGCGGCGTGTGGCGGGGTCACGGCCGCTCCGCACCACGGGCGGCGGGGCGGGTCGGAGGGGCTCGGTGCTGTATACCGCGTCGTCTGGCCGCCCAAAGATCGACCAACAGCAAAAAAGCAGACGACACCACTCCCACCTTCCCAGGGCTCATTTCGATTCCCCCGGTTCGATTCGATTCGAGTTCGATGGATTCCGATTCCGATTCGATTCGATTTCGGATCCCGATTTGGGTTCCGGTTTCTCAATGGAGGCCTAGCCTGCGGATTTACGCCGATTCGAATTTTCCCGACTCGGCTGCCGATTTCCGCCGATCCGATTCAATTCGATCGCCGATCCGACTTATCGATTCGATCTTGGGCCCTCCTGCCTACGGTCCTCCATGTTGCCACGGCCCATGCGCGGGCCGTAGCGTATACAGGCAACCCGCATGATAATGATGGGCATCTTTCTCAAGGGTACCGTTGCATCCTTGCCTCCTCGGTCCATCCTTGGCCACTTTCGTTCGCCGCACCCCGCTCGAGGAAATGGGCGTCCCAGGCCCTTGCATCCTTATCGCGCATCCTTATGATACGGGCTAACTGTACCACGCAACAGCCTACAATTCATGGTATATGCTAAGGCCCGTGGGGCCGTAGGTGGTATGGTTTTGTTTGTTTTCTGGTCCAAAAGAGCCGAGGATTTCCGCGGAGGAGCTCGGTGTCTGGTAGACGCTCCAGCGTCCAACAGATTGGGAAGACGGAGCGTCTGTACAGTCGACCCGCATAGTCCGGATGAGACTTTCCAAGGCTTCACTTGCATCCCTCCCTTTCGGAACCTCCGTTGGCCGCGCCCCGCTCGCAGAGTGTCGACATTGCCTTCCAGGGCCCTTGCATGCTTCTCGTGCGCTCGTCTCATATGGCTGGGCTGCACACCGAGCTCCTTTCGGCGGCGAGCTAGGGGGGGGGAAGTGAGGAGGGGAAGGCCCTCTCAGAAGGCGGCGGGACTTCTCAGAAACCCACGCGCCTTCTGAGAAGTCTTCTGTGTCTTCGGGGAAGGCTCAGGAGACTTCTCAGGAGGCTGGTGCACTTTTCCCAGCCTCCTGAGAAGGCCTTCTCCTTCTCACGTCCCCCCCCTCGCTCGCCCCCGATCCTTGGCCGACCGGACGACCTGGAGCTTCCACACGCCCCCCTCGCCACCGACGAGGAGGAGGCCTCCGGCGCCCCGGTCCTTGCTTTTTTTTCCCGCGCGCGGGGCTGCTCCACGGCGGCCCCCGGGGCCCCAAGGCGGGCCCGAAGGCGGGCCGCCGGGGGGCCAACCCTCAGAGAGCCAGGTGCTCTCGCGTGCGCGTGCTCTGTGCGCGGGGGTGGCCGCTCCTCCTCGCCGCGGCGGGCCTGCGTGGGCCGCCGCGTGCTGCTGCCCGGTGCCGGCCGATGCTGCCCGGTGCCCGCTGCCCTGCGCTGCTGCCCGCCGCCGCGGCCGCTCGCGGAGGGTGCTGCTGGCCGCCGCTTCCCGCTGCGGCTCTCTGCGGCTGCCGGGTGCTGCCGACGGCCCGTGCTGCTGGCTGCGTCGTGCTGCCACGGCGCAGGAGGTCCGGCGAGCTGCTGCCTGGCATCGCTCGGACGTGTGCGCTTTTTCCTCGGCGAGGACCATCGAGGAGCATCCTTGACCATCTGCCGAAAAAACCACGCACGAAACCGAAAAAAACACAGGGAATGGATGTCCGAGCGATGGCGAGGTTGCTGCGGCAGCAGCCGCGACCACGGCTGCCGTCGCCGCCGGTGCCGCCACCGTCGGCACCACTCACCGCTCGCCCCTTCACGTCGGTCGGTCGGTCTGCGCAGTCGTTGTCGTCTGCGCCGGCGCCGAGGCGACGGGTGGACCATCGACTTGATGAAGTCGACGTCGGACCTCCTGGTGTGGACCTATCCGGGCGAGGAGAACCTGTACTGGACCCGTGTGCACCACACGAAGGACCAGTTCCAGGGCGCCCGCCTCAGGAGGGCGAGCCGTCCGCCTCCTCCTCCTCCTCCTCCTCCTCCTCCTTCTCTTTCCCTGTTCCTGTTCCTCCTCCTACTCCTCCTACTCCTCCTCCTACTCCTTCTCCTCCTCCTCCTCCTCCTCATCCTCCCATCCGAGGCTCCGGTTCGCTCGGTGTGCGGCCGCCCAGAGGTTAGCAGCTTCGTCCTCCTCCTCATCCTCCTCCTCCCTCCTCCTCCCTCCTTGTTACTCACCCTTCTCTTCCGATTTTCGTAACAACATATCAATTGCCATCTGCTTTGTCGCATTCCTGGCCATCTTGTTTCGCTCTCACTGTCGCAAGACCGCGATCATGACACTATTCCCAAGGAGTGGCGTACAAGGGTGTGCCGTGGCAGTCAAAGACGTTTGCATGCACATGGTACGCACTGAAGCAACTGGCTAGCCTGTATGTGCCGCAGGCGAAGGCGTGAACATCGGAAGCAGGAGGACGATGAAGAGGACGGGGACGACAGGAGGGAGGAAGGAGGAAAGTGTAGATGAGGACGCTGAGGAGTGGGAGGAGGCGGGGGAGCAGGGAGGAGGGGACGGGGAAGAAGGAGGGATGATCGGAAGCAGATGGAGGACGCATACATCCTTTTGGCGCTGGGGGGGGGGACACCGAAAGGCAAAACACACACTTGGGCGCGAGACCAGGGGGCCCCCCTGGTGGAACCTCCTGGCCCTCCCCAGGCCCCAGGGCCCCCGGGGGGTGCGCGGGCGACCGTCTCGGGGGGATGCTGGGGCGCTTCCGAGGAGCGCCTCGACGGCCCCGCGGCGGCCCCAGGGCGGTCGAAGCGGCTCCCCGGAGGCCCCGCGAGGGCCTCGCAGAGGGCGGTCTGCAGGCCCCCCCCCCGAACAGTGCTCGCAGGCTTGCCGCGGGGGGCCCGAACAGCAGTGGTTTCTTGCAGCTGCGAGGTGCGGTTTTTGTGGCGCAAGCTCCGTGCGATGCAGCCCGCGTGCTGCAATTTTTGTTTGTTTGTTTTGTTTTTTTGTCTTTTGTTTTTTTGGTTTGTTGTTGTTTTGATATGTGGCGGGGAGGTGTCGTGGAATGGAACCGTGCGACTAAGCTCTGGGGCGGTGTCCCGCGGGGGTGGCTTGGAGAGGGTGTCCTGCGGGCTCTTTTGGGGAATGGTCTCGGAGGGGTGCCCTGAGGAGGAAGTCCCAGGGATGGTGGCCCCGCGTGGTCTCCAGTCTCCTCCTCTTCCTCCTCCTCCTCCTTCTCCTTCTCCTACTCCCCTTCCTCCTCCTCCTCCTTCTCCTCCTTCTCCTCCTCCTCCTCCTCCTCTTCCTCCTTCTCCTCCTCCTCGTCCTCCTCCTCCTCCCCCTCCCTCTCCTCCTCCTCCTCCTCCTCCTCCTCCTCCTCCTCCTCCTCCTCTCCTACTCCTACTCCTACTCCTACTCCCTCCTCCTCCTCCTCCTCCTCCTCCTCCTCCTCCTCCTCCTCCTCCTCCTCCTCCTCGACCGTTTCCTTGGGGAGTCAAGGGCGTTCGGTTTCCAGGTGTCGGGGCCTGCCGTCTTCTGGTGAAGTCACTGTTGTTTCTCTGGTGGCGGCTTCCGTGTGCCTGGTTGGTATTTCCGCGACGGCACCCCGGTTCTTTGGTACAACGGTTTCGGCGCTGTTTGGCGACGGCGGCCACCCCTCAAGAGGCCTTCAAAACAGCACCGAGAGGTCCAAGACGCCTCCAACAGGGCCAACATAGCTCCTAGATGGTCCAAGTCGGCTCCAAGATGGTTCCGTATCCATCTGGGCTCAAGCCATCTTGGCTGTCGCACCAGCCTTCCAGGGGAGTGCCGCAGCTCTTCGAAGCGACGATGGTCAGGTCAAAGATCGCGGCATGCATAGTCGGCATTGTAGCCACGTCTTGTGTAGACACGGACTGCGTGTCGTGCACGGAGGACCATGGGTGCGCTTGGAACCAATCGTCGAAAACTTGCTCCCGCCGATTCGCGTCGGATGATTGTCCGGGGTGCGAGGACGTGTATCGAAGACGCATATGGCGAACCACGGCCGCCCCCTGCGTTTGGAAGAAACGCCCATGCAGCCAAACGTGTGGCCGAAGTCTGGCCAAGCCATCGGGCCATGGGCTCCCCCAGCCGCTGTGGAACCACTGGAGAGGGGAAGAGAAGGGATGGGGAGAGGGAAGGCGAGGAAAGCTATGACGAGGAAGAAGAGGAGGCCTCTCGAGGCCCTCTTGGGGCTGTCTTCGGGACCTCTTGGGCCGTCTTGGCTCCCTCTTGCGGGCCTCTTGGGCCGTCTTGGGGCGATCTTGGGGCCGATGGGGCCGCCTTGGAGAGTCGGAAGCCCGAACAGGCGAGACCACGAAACTCATTGAAAAACCTAAGGCGATTCAATGATGTTGGCCTCCCGGAGTTCCTCCTGGAGGCCTCTTGGAGGCATCCAGGGCCGCCTTGGGCCATCCTGAGGCCACCTCGGGCCGCCTGGGGTGCCTCTTGTGGGCCGCCTTGGAGACACATCGGAGCTTCCTCTTGGGGGCCTCTTGGAGCCATCTTGGCCGTCCTGGACGCCATCCTGGCCGTCTTGAACGCCATTTCGGGCTGCCTTCAGGCCAGCTGGAGCGGAACCGTCCTGGCCACCCACCTCCCGCAGCGCTTTCTGCGGCCGGCGGGAGCGGCCGAGACCCCACCTGGAACAGCTTGGAGTGGCCACACACACACACACACCAGGGTTTAGCAGTAAGTCGGGCCTGTCCCTCTACAGGAGGAACATTCGTAAGTGGTAGAAATAGTCAGGGGACGATTATTGGATAATTTCTGTATTTTTTTATAATATTTTTCATCCACTTTTCATGCTTCGCCCAAAAATCCGCCTGTAGGAGGACACGCCCGACCTAAGTTTAGCACGCCGTGCGCCACTGTGGCAAGCACAGGGGGGCAGCGGAGCTCGTGGCCATCGGCCCATGCCACTGCCGTGCCTGGGGTTGTGGGTCAGAGGCTTCTTTTCGCAGGCGATTTCCCTCCCCCCCCCGACTCTCCCCGATTTCTTGACGAAAAATGAAGCCGCTCAGACAAAGAGGGAAACCCTGTGATACACCCCAAGGGGGCCTAGTCGGACGCACCCCCTATCGAGGATGGACGCCCCCCCCCTGTTGTATATCCCAGGCTTGAGCCCCAGATTTCTGGTCCATTCGAGAACCCCCCGAAGGAGGAGGAGGAGGAGGAGGAGGAGGAGGAGGAGGAGGAGGAGGAGGAGGAGGAGCAGGAGGAGAACCTGGGATAGGGGTCGGCATGCCCCCTGTTGTCTTTGATGCCTGTGGGGATCTGTTGCTGCTTGGGCTTCTTGGGGGCTTCTTGGGGGTTTGGGGGCCCTGGCGGCCTCGGGGATGTCATCCTGGGGCAGAGGGCTCGACGTGCAAGTTTGAGTTCCCCCTTTTGGGCCCTTCTCGGGGCCCTCCTCCTCCTCCTCCGCCTCCTCCTCCTCGATCCCTCCTCCTCCTCCTCCTCCCTCTCCTCCTCCCTCCTCCTCCTCCTCCTCCTCCTCCTCCTCCTCCCTCCTCCTCCTCCTCCTCTCCTCCTCCTCCCCCCTCACTCATCCCTCCTCCTCCTCCTCCTCCTCCTCCTCTCCTCCTCGATCCCTCCCCTCCTCCTCCTCCTCCTCCTCCTCCTCCTCTTCGCCTTAGGCTTACAAGTCGCGGAGACAAAGCTCGTCACCCCTCCCTCCTCCTCCTCCCTCCTCTCTTCCTCTCTCCTCCTCCTCCTCCTCCTCCTTGTCCTCCTCCTCCTTCTCCTCCTCGTCCTCCTCCTCCTCCTCCTCTTCTCCTTCTCCTCCTCCTCCTCCTCCTCCTCCTCCTCCTCCTCCTCCTCCTCCTCCTCCTCCTCCTGGGTCGTCCGGGGGGTCCGCTTACGCCGTCGAAGCCCTCCTGGGCCGTCTCGGGGCTCTCCTGGGGCCCTCTCGGGGCCCTCCTAGGCCATCTTGGGGGGATCCTGGAATCTCGAGAGCCCGAGAGTCGGCGGCCAGCGAGGGGGGTAAGTGAGAAGGAGAAGGCCTTCTCAGAATGTTCGGAAGTACCCCAGCCTTCCGAGAAGTTTTCGAAGCCTTGCCCGAAGACACAGGACACTTTTCAGAAGGTGCGAGGAGAAGTTCCGCCACACTCCGAGAATGCCTTCTCCTTCTCAATTCCCTTCCCTCGCTCGCCGCCGAGAGAAGGCCAGAGCGCTAGCTCTTTCAAACACCGGCGGGAAGTCACAGGTTTCAGCCTCTCTGGGACCCCGTGGGGCGACTCTTGGAGCCCTCTTGGGGCGTCTTCTTGGGTGCCTCTTGGGCCGCCTCCAGGTCATCTTGGGCGTCTCGGAGCGCCGGTGGGCCGTCCCAGGGGTCCTGGGCGGGGCCCTCCCGGCCCGCCCTGGGGCCCGGCCCCCTAGCCTCCGGAAAACAAAGAGGAAGCCCACGGGGAACGCGCGCGAGGAGCTCAGCGCCACGCCCTTGATCGCGCGCAGGAGCGCACGGAACGCAGGGATGTGGCGATGGGCCAACTTTCCACCGCCGCTGCCATGGGTAGGACGGGGGAGAAGGGAGGATGGGGAGGTCCTCCTCGTCCTCCTCCTCCTCCTCCTCCTCCTCCTCCTCCTCGTCCTCCTCGTCCTCCTCGTCCTCGTCCTCCTCCTCCTCGTCCTCGTCCTCGTCCTCCTCCTCTTTTTCTCCTTTCCCTATCTATGGTAGTGGTGGTGGAGAATCTGCCCATCATGTTGGCCCCTTTCGAGGGTATTGCAGTGTTCAGGGCAGAGGACCAGGACCCGAAGGTCCTGAGGGCACTCCACGTAGTGCCTCGGGGGCACGGCAGCGGATATGTACGACGACACGTGCCCAGTGGAACACCACGTCACTGATGCATTTTTGGGTGCATGGATGGGCGAATTGACGCAGGCGGGCGTTAACTTGACGCTGTTGGAAATGTCTCTTCCAGGAACACATGATACGCTCTCATACGACCTGAGCCTGCGCGTGTCGGACGGGGGTATTGATGGGCACGAAGCATGGGCTGATATCATGCACCGGCATCAACGTGTGATACCAAATGAGCTTGCTGATTTTATTCGGCAGCAGGCGCAGACACAATACCTCAACGTTACAATGCAGCTAAGCAGCGGGATCCGCTTCTTAGACTTGAGAGCCGCATTCGAATATTCGAGCAAAGGAGGCGAGGCAGATTGGTATTCGCTGCACTTTCTCCAAAGCAACAAGAAGCTGATTCTATACTTCGAAGAAATACGAGATTGGTTGTTGGCGCATCCCACGGAGTTGGTAGTCATGTGGGTCAGTAAACATGGCAGCGAATGCGAGACAGGCCAAGATCAGTATCCAAATACGCCAATCGATAAGAAGAGGCTATTCTGGTCTAAAATCGAGTCCCTGTTTGAAGGCCTCATGCTTAGTGGGAATTCCTCGCTTGTCGGCAAAGAGAAAGTATATTCTCGTGTCAATGAGACGTCATTGGTAGATCTGGTGAGAAGGAATTCGCGTGCTATCTTTTATGCAGTCGCGCAGCCGCGCACGCCCGCCACTGCGCTCGGAGAATCAGCGCAGCAAGGCTCTCGCCAGGTACGACCGAACTGTGCCAATGCATCTTGCGGTGTCTTCTCTGGAGCCGTTTTGCGGTCCTCCTTGGGGGTCTCCGGACGTTTCGGGAGTCTCTCGGGCCGTCTTCGGGTAGTCTCGGGGTTCTCTCGGGACCGTGCTATGTTCGGATGTTTTCCCGATGCTGTTTTGAGTCGAAAAGTTATGGAAACATGTTAACTGACCGTGTCTTCAACAAGAGCGCACCTTCGGATGTGCAGCCTTTTGGGGGAAGCGCAAGGGGTTCATTGTGAAGAGCTGTCTGGAGTCTCTTCGGGGCGCTGTTTGTAGTTTTCTTTGGCCCACCCGAACCTTCCAGGAGCTATTCAAGAGGCTTCCGCCAAGTCGCCAACCCCTAGGAGAGAGGGGAAGTCCACGGAGTTGCAGGGTCTGGGCAGGAGCTGCGGTTGCTGCATTCAGCCTGGGTCCCAGGGCGATGGAGTTCTTGGGACGGGGTCGGGACTTGAATGCAGGGTGCTTTTTGGGGGACGTACGGAAAGGGCGACCATCTTCCATGCTGGGTTGCCCTCAATTTGTCCCGTCGGCGTCACCGTGGATTTGGCGACGGGGATGTGGGAGGCAAGGACGTGGAGGATGACCTGGACGGCGAGGAAGTGGAGGAGGATTCGGAGGAGAATGGGGGTGGTGAGGAACAGCAGGATGGGAAGAGGAAGGTGATGAGTGAGGAGGTGGACAGGGAGGTGGACGAGGAGGATGATGAGGAGGAAGAGAACGAGGAGGAAGAGGAGAGCCAGGAAGATGAGGGTGAGGATGCTGCTGCTGCTGATGATAATGCTGCTGATGGTGATCGTAATGATAATACTGATGATGATGCTGATGATGCATCTGATGATTATGTTATTGTTGATGATGCTGATGATGATGATGAGGATGAAGAGGAGGACGATAAGGAATAGGAGAGTCAGGAGGATGACTGCGGGCTTGAGAATCTGATATTATTCGCATCTATTTCGGCTTCTCATGGTCATCCTGGTCTTCGGACCACTGCGTGCGTGGGCCAGCTTTTCACAACGCTCTACATTTTCTTCATTTTCCGAGTCCGAAGCGGGCGAGGGGGATCAGAAGGAGAGCTGGTCAAGATGCTGCTGCTGATGATGGTGATGCTGATTCTGATGATGATGATGATGGTGATGATGATGATGATGGTGGTGATGATGATGATGAGAAGGAGGAGGAGGAGGAGGAATAAGATGGATGGATGGCTGGATGGATGGATGGATGGACGGATTGATGGACGGATGGATGGATGGATTGATGGAATGATGATGCTGCTGCTGATGATGACGATGATGATGATGATTATGATGATGCTGATGATGCTGCTGCTGATGATGATGCTGCTGCTGATGATGATGATGAGGATGATGGTGATGCTGCTGCTGATGATGATGCTGATGAAGATGATGATAATGATGATGATGGTGATAATGACGATGATGATGATGATGATGATGATGATGATGCTGATGCTGATGCTGATGCTCATGCTGATGCTGATGATGACGATGACGATGACGATGACGATGGCGATGACGATGACGATGATGATGATGATGATGATGATGATGATGATGATGATGATGATGATGATGATGATGATGATGATGATGATGATGATGATGATGATGATGATGTGATATGATGTATAATGTTGATGGGGTGGAGGTGGAGGAGAAGGAGGAGGAGGAGGATGAGGAGAAGGAGGGAGGAGGATGAGGCGGGAGGATGAGGAGGATAATGACTCCAGCTTCGCAGTGGCCTGCAGCAGAGGCAACGCAGCATCGCCCTCGGAACTCGCAGTCGGAGAATCGGTTTTCCGCTTCTTCCCGCCGAAGCACTCGAGAATATCATCGTGGGCCTCCGTTGCTATGTTGGAATCGCTAGGGATCAACGAGGTGTGGATGACAACAAACAGCAGTGGCCCCTGGGGGGGGGACGAGGAGGGGGACAGCCGACGTCTCACACGCCTTCTCACCCGCGACAAACGGGGGTCGGCGGATTTCGGCGTTCTCAGGAGCTGCAGGCGTGCCCTGGGGTCGGTTCAGGGATCCCTTGGGCCGCTCTGGGGTGCTCTTGGGCCGTTCATGGGGGGCCGCAGAGAGGGATCGAGGAATAAGAAACTGCATGAGCACAAACTTTCGGAGGTCCCGGCGTATTTCTTGGATCGGCGCTGGACCCGCTTCCCAGGCGCGCCTCCGGCGTCAGGGGCGGCTCCAGCGAAGACCCAGGAAATCCGCGCGGAGCTCCGAAAGTTTATGCTTGTGCCGTTTTTTGTTCCTCCAAGGGTTGTTGTTTGGGGCCGTCTGGAGTCCTCCGTCGGCGGCGCGTCCAATGGGGAAATGAGAGGGGAAGGCCTTCCGAGAAGGCGGCGGGTCTTCTCAGAAGCCCTCTGGCCTTCTGAGAAGTCTTCTGAACCTTGGGGGGAGGCCCAGAAGACTTTTGCAGAAGTCAGGAGGAGAAAAAACGCACAGACACAATCGACTCTCAAGAAAATTTGGGGAAAAATGGGAATTGGGGGGAAGACAAAAACCCAGAAAATATTGGAAAATATGGGGGATCCTGTTATATGTGTCTATTTATTTGTGTGTCCCAGGGCCCCTTCAAGAAGGCCCGAAGCCTTCCGAGCCTTCTGGCCAGGCCCGGCCCGTCGGTACGGGGGAACCAACTGGTACGGACACCGCTGCTCCCTGGCCCTTCCCCAGGGTGCGCCCTGGCCAGAACCTCGAGGCGAATCCAGCCGCGGTGACGAGGGCCCCCCAGGAGGCCCAGAAAGGGGAACACCGAGGGAAGGGGATCGGCATCGGTGCCTCTCCCCGCCCCGGGCTCGGCGCACATGCCACGGCCCACGCAAGCGTTCGAACACCGACGAGCACCTCTTGCTACGACGCGAGCGGCGCTCGAAGGCCGGTCGAAGACCAGCAGAAGCGTGCGCCGGACGGGCCGCCGGGCGGCGCGCGCGGTGCACTCGCGGTGCCCTCGCGCCACGCGCAGAGGTCTACGCCTCCCAGGTGGGGTCCGAGTAGGTAGGTGTCCTCCTCCTCCTCGTCCTCCCCTTCGTCCTCCTCCTCCACCCTCCTCCTCCTCCTCCTCCTCCTCCACCTCCTCCTCCCTCCTCCTCCTCCTCCTCCTCCTCCTCCTCCTCCTCCTCCTCCTCCTCCTCCTCCTCCTCCTCCTCCTCCTCCTCCGGTAGAGGAGGAGGTGGAGGAGGGCCACCCAGCGGCGGCAGCGCGCAGAGGCGCCTCGCCGGGTTCGCGGCAGCGCTTCTGGTGGGCCTTGGCCACGCGCAGAGGCCACCGGCCTCTCGAGCGTGCCCCTATCCCCAGGAGTGGCACGCCAAGAGGCGATGACAATCTCAGGGATGCGCCCTCAGGAACCAAGTAGGGGGCCACGCGCGAACCCTACCCCTACCCCCCACGACTTCTGAGGGAGAGGGTGGGGTTTACTCCGCTCGGGATCTCCCGAACGAAGTGAACCCCACCCTCCCCCTCAGAAATCGTGGGGGGTAGGGGTAGGGTTCACATGTGGCCCCCTACCAAGGGAATCCCTAAGATCGGCTCCGTGATGAGGCGATGCCCAGCATAGGGGTAGGAATAGGTTCCAGGCTGGTAAAGAGGGGGGCCACCCCAACATACCAATCCCATCTGTGCGCCCCCCCCCCCCCCCCTGGGGCGACGCGCGCGCCGAGAAATCTTGTAGTATATGCGTCGTGGCGGGCGCTCTCTGGCCACACCGCTCGGAAAGCGATATACTACAAGACGGGTTACTATATGTTCGAGTCGGACGAGCGGGTACAGTCAACCCGCATAGGAAGGATGGGCACCCTTCACAAGGATACCCTTGCATCCTTGCCTCCTCGGTTCATCCTTGGCCACTTTCGTTGGTCGCGCCCCGCCCGGATGATTTCGGAATGGGCTTGCAAGGCCCTTGCATCCTTATCGCGCATCCTTTGTGATACGGGCCGGCTGTAAGGAACGGGGGGAAAGCTTCTTAGAAACACCTCTTCTTCTTGGAAGGCGCGGGCCTTGTCGGTTGATGTGAGGCTGGCGCCTTCTAAGAAGCAGACTATTTCCGAGAAGCCCTCCCCT